TGGCGTTTTTTACTCCCCCCCCCCCCCCGGTGACAGGTATAACCGAGCATGCATGTGCCCCGGGGGCAATACACGGGCGACAGTATTGAAGTCAGAGGATCAGTATGACTCCCCCGGGAGGAGAGCTCAGCCCCCCCCGGATTCCTCTCCGAGGACATGAAATAAGAACTGTCTGTGTGGTCACAGCAGCCAATCACATTCTTCTCTACATCTCCTCCATGGAATCTCTGGACTAAGAAGGCCTGATAGGGGGTCAGTAGCCTCCAGCCACCTAGGGGCCCCCGGGAGGGGCCCCGCATTGTATGACACTGTGTGTCCGTCCCTCAATCCTGTACAGCTTCTCCAGCCAACTATGTGTGTGCCAGCATACGGCCACCCAATACAGACTCCCGGCATGCATGGGACACCCAATACAGACTCCCGGCATGCATCGGCCCCCCAATACAGACTCCCGGCATGCATGGGACACCCAATACAGACTCCCGGCATGCATGGGACACCCAATACAGACTCCCGGCATGCATGGGACACCCAATACAGACTCCCGGCATGCATCGGCCACCCAATACAGACTCCCGGCATGCATCGGACACCCAATACAGACTCCCGGCGTGCATGGCACACTATATACAGACTCCCGGCATACATCGGTGAATTTGCGGTTACTCCCGGCATGCAACGGTGAATTTGCGGTTACTCCCGGCATGCATCGGTGAATTTGTGGTTACTCCCGGCATGCAGCTGTGAATTTGCGGTTACTCCCGGCATGCATCTGTGAATTTGCGGTTACTCCCGGCATGCATCGGTGAATTTGCGGTTACTCCCGGCATGCATCGGTGAATTTGCGGTTACTCCCGGCTTGCATCGGTGAATTTGCGGTTACTCCCGGCATGCATCTGTGAATTTGCGGTTACTCCCGGCATGCATCGGTGAATTTGCGGTTACTCCCGGCATGCATCGGTGAATTTGCGGTTACTCCCGGCATGCATCGGTGAATTTGCGGTTACTCCCGGCATGCAGCGGTGAATTTGCAGTTACTCCCGGCATGCAACGGTGAATTTGCGGTTACTCCCGGCATGCATCGGTGAATTTGCGGTTACTCCCGGCATGCATCTGTGAATTTGCGGTTACTCCCGGCATGCAGCGGTGAATTTGCAGTTACTCCCGGCATGCAGCGGTGAATTTGCAGTTACTCCCGGCATGCAGCGGGCTTGTGGTACCGACCTGGACCATCATGGCGGTCTTGTTGCCTTTGCCCAGCGAGTCCTGCAGCAGGTAGGTGAGCTTGGAGTTGCGGAATGGGACGTGCGGCTGTTTGGCCCTCAGGGCCTGAATCACCTCGCCGAGGGCCAGCAGGGACTTGTTGATGTTCTGCGCCTCCTTCAGCCGCTCGCCCTCTGCACCGGACTTGCACACGCGCTCTGAGCCGGCCAGATCCACCAAATGCAGCTTCCCTGACAAGGAAGGACACCACGGATGAGCCACTCGCATGTAATACTACTGCCGGTACACGCCGGACACTGAGTACCCCTCTACATGTATGTACATGACACGTACTAAGTCCCTGGAGTCCCGTCTATGGACTCGGTGAGGGGTATTGGGTACCCCTAGAACCTGTCCCTGGACTAGGTGAGGGGTATTAGGTACCCGTAGGACCTGGACTCGGTGAGGGGTATTAGGTACCCGTAGAACCTGTCCCTGGACTCGGTGAGGGGTATTAGGTACCCGTAGAACCTGTCCCTGGACTCGGTGAGGGGTATTAGGTACCCGTAG